TGAGAGATATGTGTTGTAATGTGTTGTTTAGTTCATGAGAATAGAGAAAGAAGAAGGGTAAATGGAATTTGGAGGCATTAAGAGCTTCAAAATTGGTTGTTCATGGTTGTTGGAGTATTGATGACAATGACAATCTTGTAATTACTTGAAGATGATGAGGGTGAGAGAGTAAATATGTTATTTTCGAAAAAAAAAAAAATGGATGGCATTTTCGTGAATTATATGAACTTGTGGGGTGAATTGGGCAAAATAAAGTTCCAAAAAAAAGGAGGTTAGTTTTGTGGTTGACTTCAAGTTTCAGGTCAATTCTGCAAAAAGCCCATGAAATTATTTTTATATTTTCTGGACACTTAATATATTGTTGATGAGATTTAGTAATATTATATCTAAAACCATATTTAAATTCTATGAAATATATATTATGTACACCAAATACTATAAGAAATTTAATACAAACGTCAAATTTCAAAAATGATAATAAATATCTATACACTAAAATAAAATATATTTCTTATTTTAGAATAAATATATCCTAAAATAGAAAAATCTAAATAAGAAAATTTTGGTAAATTAATATCTTTATAAATTAATAAAATTTCAAAGTCCCGATATTATTAATTTATAAAGTAACTGTAGTATTCTTTAACATTTAAGGAATAATAGACTATAATTATTCCTTATCAAATTAGGAGAATGATAAATTTTCCTCTTGTTTTATTCCCTTTTATTCATTTCTTTTTTATTCTTCATATTCATTTGGTAAAATAACAAATCAAAATTATCAACTAAAATCACCACGCCATTGTTAACTTGCCAAAAGAGTTCAAGTGAAGGCCTAAATTTAGAATTTCTTTTAAAATTTTCTAATTTGTGATTTTTTTTTTCTTTTCCAAGTAATGTTGTTTTAACCTCCTTAGATGCAGACAATATTATAAATTGGTAAGTTCCATATACCAAAAGAGATTTTACTTCACCAAAAGTAGGTTTGTGTGCCATTTAAACTTGTTCACATTCCATTTCTATGTGTGCGTGGGTCTAAACTCTAAACTGTGCTCTTAGCTGAAGACAAAGAAGAAATACATCCAAATGTTTTCCAACACAACACATTCAATAGGCCTCCCAAACAGTTTATCAAGGTGAATATGTGATTAAATGGTGATTCCGAACTAATAATAATACAAAGTAAAGAGACATTTTCGTGAAAGAACATAAAAAAAGAAACAAAGAAGTCTTTTGCCAGAAAGAAAATCAATACACCTTTTCATCTTCCTCTCTTCTCGCTTTCTTCTGCTAGTGGAACCACCCTAATCATCTCTTCTTTCCTTTTTCTTGGATTAATAAGTGAAAACCCTAAAATCCTTCTTCTTAATGAACCCATCACTAGTAAATCGAATCTTTCGACATTGAATCTCGCGAAAACTCAAAAAACAAATCGATGGCGAAAGGCACATCCACAGGGGAGATCATGATCCGCACAGGTTGCAAAAGGGAGTTGCAATTCATGTTGAAATCTCAGTCCGAGATCTGTGGAGGGGAGACTCTAGGTCGGACTCGTGGAAGCAAAATCTTGATTAGACACTCCACAAGTGCAGATGCGAAGAGACACAGTCGGGTTGGGATAAAGAAGATGCGTCTCATTACAAAAGATGAGGATGATGTTGTTATGTCTGATTCTGTTGAAGAAGAAGAAGAAAAGAGCGACGTTGTTGATGTTGATGAAGGGTCTGATAATGTGATGATTGATAAAGATCAGCCAAGGGAGAGGCGACTTGAGAAAGGTACACATGCAGTTAATGAGGCTGTGAAGGAAAGAGAGATTGTGATTGAGAGAGAACTTGTTTTAGCATGTCCTGTTAGTTTTAGTAAGTTCGGGAAAGTGACTTCAAGATCTTGTCGTGTTAAGTTGGAGAGTGGTCTTGGTTATAAAAAACCTGGTAGAAGGTTGACCAGATCTATGTTGAAGTCTGAGTGTATCAACTCTGAGGCTAATGGTGATCATGATGTGAATCCGGGAAAGGACGCTACAGGTAGTGAAGATGATTGTGTTGCTGAAGGTAGCAAATCTGAGGCTAATGGTGGTGAAGATCATCTAAATGAAGAAAGGGAAGCTAAAGATAGTTCTGTTGCTAAAGGTAGCACATCAGAGGCTAGTTCTGATGAAGATCATAGAAATACAGAGAAAGATGCTCAAGAAAGATGTGTTGATGCTGCTACGTTAGTGGCATGTGGGAGGAAGAAAGAGCTTCATGAGCAAAATAGTGAGGATCCGGTGCTTGGGGATCCAACTGGATTGTCGCAGATGAATGGTCATACACGAGGCGGTTATAAGAAGGCAGTGAATGATTCTGTAGATAAGTCTTTGAGGAGACTAACCAGGTCATTAGTGAAATCAGAGGCTAATGGTTACGAAGATCATATCAATGCAGAAAGGGAAAGAAAAGATAGTCAAGATAGTTGTGTTGATGCGGCTACTTTAGTGGCATCTGACAAGGAAGAGGAGCTTCATGAGCAGAATAGTGTGGAACCATGCCTTGGTATTATTCACCATGTTGATAAGAAGGCAGTGAATGATACAGTAGATACACCTTTGACGAGGTTAAACAGGTCATTAGTCAAACAAGAAGGTGATTTAGAGAATCCTAATTTGGAAAATAACATCGAATCAAAAGACTTGTGCAAGCTAGATGTGAATGCCAATGATGAGTTTCAAAGTCCTTCTACTACAACTCCCAACAAGCGTGGAAGGCCCAGGAAATTTATGAGGAATTTCCCAGCAAAGCTGAAAGACCTTTTCGATTCTAGAATACTTGAGGGGCTAACTGTGTACTATCTTCGATGTGCAAAGGTACATAGGATGGCTTTCCTTTTGTTTCTATTCTTGTAAAAGAAAGTTTTCGTATAGCTGATGTGGATATCACCATTGTAGATGAGAGAGGCAGGGGCTAGAGGGCTTAAAGGAGTAATAAAAGGATCTGGAGTTTTGTGCTTTTGTGGTGCTTGCAAAGGAACTCAAGTTAGTGGTCACCTACTGTTCGTTAAGATCTTGTTACTGGTCCTGCCTATGCTAGCAGGTTTTTGTAACTTTTCAATTTTCATTTCCGCAGGTGGTAAGCCCCGCAGTCTACGAGCATCATGCTTCTAGCACAAACAAGCGCTCACCTGAATATATCTTACTGGAGTCTGGATTCACACTTCGGGATGTCATGAATGCATGCAAGGAAACTCCCTTTGATACACTAGAAGAAAAACTCCGTGGGGTAGTTGGACCAGATGTAAAGAAATCTAGCCTGTGTTTCAATTGCCAAGGTTGCTGATTGGTATAAAGGCTGTTTTCACTTTCTCTTTCTCTTGAATTAAAAGAATTGAGACTGGTTACATCTAATTGATTGCAGGTCCATTGGTTGAGCATTGTGAAACGAAGTCATTATTTTTGTGCAAATCGTGTTTGGAGAGAAAGGAACCAGAACTCCCTATCAGTCCTTCTAAAGCAACTGGTGTTCGTAGGGGGTATGTATCTTCTTTCTTTATTTTCTTGCAACGAGTTTTTCTTTGCAGCTCAATCATCTGAAAGTAAAATGAACATACAATTATCCTGTTGCTGAAGGTAAAATGCAAAAGTAGCAGATTTTATTTCGGAAAAGGATTGAGCTGTATGACTACATGCCTCTGTTATATGGTTGCTTATGTAGAATTCTGTTATTACCAATATGCATAACTTTGTTTTTGGTATAAACCGTTTATTTATATATTTATTTGATTGATTCCTAATCTGACCTCAATTTCCTACAGATCGCCTAACCCAAGTTTGGTTCCGAGAACTATCATTGATAGGTCAATATCCAGTCCTCGCCAAAGTAACAGGCGTGAACAACCAACCCAAAAGTGAGTTCTGTTGTATATGCATGGCGCCAACTATGTGATGGTTGAGCTTTCTTGTAGTATTTGTTGCATTTCTCTTTAGACTAAGATATATATGTTTCTTCTGGTTTATATATTTATAATGTACATCAGTTACATCATATTTTTACCTTACTTTATTGGCTTAAATTTATCTTGGGTTTCTACAGGTCACCTGAGCCTTCAGTAACTGTTGCGAATGGGTCAGAATCCAGCTCCATCAAAAGTAACAGCCTTGGGAAATTAACCAGAAAGTGAGTAGTGTGGTTATAAGTGTGACAGCACCTATCCGATCTATCTATGGTCGAGTTCTAGATTGTCGTCTTCCCTATTTGTCTGGCCTGGCATACTTGGTTTAGTTCTCAGTCCATATTTTGTCGTTTTGAAAGGAATTTGCGGCTGCACAAACTTGTCTTTGAGGATGATATACTACCAGATGGGACTGAAGTGGGTTATTTTGTTGCTGGAAAGGTTATATCTGCATGGCAAATAGCTTTTAGTACAGCCCGTTAGTGTAACTTTATCTACTCTAACTGATTCGTTCATTATGCAGAAATTGCTTGTCGGCTATAAGAAGGGATTTGGGATACATTGTTCTTGTTGCAACAAAGTGGTAAGCTGTCTTTAATGTCGTCAAATGTCCATTCCTGGCATGAAGTATAGGGCTCTGAATCAGCCTTTATATTTTTATGAGACCAGGTCAGTCCTTCAGCGTTTGAGGCCCATGCTGGCTGTGCAAGTCGTCGGAAGCCGTAAGTTCCTTGCAACTATTTCCATATGTATGCTTTAGTAGTAATGGGCTTATGCCTGTTGCACTGGTCTTGGTTTTCTCCCCCACTCTACTGTTTTAGTCACACTAGTAATTTTATGTAATAATCTGCTGGAAATACAAGAGACTAGGATTGTTATAATGTAACTATTCCCAGTCTCGGAAACCTGAACACAAGAACTATTAGTCCTTCTCTCTGTTATAAAAAATATACATTAAACGTTGGGTACTATGAAATACTACGTTTAGAGTAAAATTCGTAGATCATTGTTTGTGTAACTTTACAGAAAAGGTGTTGAAATAACTAGTTGGTCTTCTACTGATGTTCAGGTTTCAGCACATTTATACAACCAATGGCGTATCTCTCCATGAACTATCAGTAGCACTATCAATGGACAAGAAGTTTTCCATCCGTGAAAATGATGACATTTGCCGTATCTGTCAGGACGGGGGTGAACTCTTGTGCTGTGATACCTGTCCAAGATCGTATCATATAGGTTCGTCTTTTACAATTTTCCATTTCTTTGCGGGAGTTTTTCTATTGCTATATTGAAGAGCTTTTGGAGCGTGAACTTGATGGAGCCTACTTTTCTGTTTTGGTTTTATCTAGCATGTGCTGATTTACCAAGCCTTCCGAGTGAGAGGTGGTCCTGCAAATATTGTGTGGATATGATTGAGAGAGAGAAGTTCGTGAACAGCAATCTTAACGCCGTTGCAGCTGGTAGAGTTCGTGGAGTTGATGCAATTGCTCAGATAGCCACAAGATGCATTCGAATTGTCAGCTCTCTTGTAAGTGAGCTCCCAAGTGTATGCGTGTTATGCAGGTATAGAGATTTTCCTACTATGTCATGTATATGACAGTTGCCTTTCTTGTGTCGCTTTAATGATTACCTAAATTCCTGACGACCTTATTCAACTGTAATGCGGTAGTTCAATGAGGTCGTAGTGTTTAATTCATGTTTCTGCTTCTCCCCTAGTTGAGATCATTTACTTCTGAGGACATTTACTTAGTTTCTTTACTCTTGCAGAGGCCATAGTTTTTGCAGGTTGGGCTTCAATTCTCGCACTGTGATACTCTGTGATCAGGTATTTTGTTGGTCATTGTTATATTGCGATCTGTGCCTCTGAATTCTGCACTTCGTTTTCACCATATTCCGTGTCTATGTTTTCTCGTCAGTGTGAAAAGGAGTTCCATGTTGGCTGTTTGAAAGACCATAACATTGCTGATCTTAAGGTACTCATCCACTTTGGGTCTTTCTTTCTCTCTTTATTTCTTCTTGGATGATACCTCATTACTAATCTCTACCATCCGTGTTTATGTTTTAACAGGAACTACCTAAAGACAAATGGTTTTGTTCCCTTGGGTGCGAAAAGATCAACACTTCATTAGGTGATCTGATAGGTCAAGGAGAAGAGAAGAAGCTTAGTAACAGTTTTCTGAATTCTATATCGAAGAAGCAAAAACCTAATGAAGAAAGCTGTCCAGATGACAACACCACTCCAGACATAAGATGGAGGATCCTTAGTGGAAAGTTGGCCTCTTCGGATGATACAAAAGAGTTTCTTAAGAAAGCACTTTTGATTCTTCATGTAACTCTCCAGCCACAATCCATACCTTTTTCCCTTCTACTTTTGTATGAAAGGTTTAACTCTTTTTTTGTCCATGGTCTGCTTCAGGAGCGGTTTGATCCTATCAGTGAATCTGGGACCAGGGGAGATCTCATTCCAGCCATGGTGTATGGGTAAGTGCAAAATGTTGTAATGTCATATGTCTTTAGTGCATTATTATGCATGAGTTGATGAAACAACGTTGGGTTTATGTGAAACAGAAAGAAAGCAAAAGGCCATGATTTCAGTGGCATGTACTGCACCATGTTGACTGTGGAGTTAAGATTCTTTTTTTTCTTTCGAGTTTATATTATTTTGTGAAGCCTACCTATTTCATCTTGTTAATTAGTGTGTTTGTTTTGTCTCGCTTGTGCAGTGAAGTGATTGTTTCCGTGGGAATCTTTAGGGTTTTAGGACCTGAACTAGCGGAACTCCCTCTGGTTGCTACCACTAGAGATTATCAAGGGCAGGTAATTATTAGCTTTGATGTTGATGAACTTTCTTTTTCTTTTTTGTTCTTTGAGAGAGTTGCCTGTTCTTTATAGAATGACTAGAAACCAATCCGCTCTTAAGTACGACTGTGATGCATCCATGCCATATATTATCATGCGTGCCTGTGTTTGTTTCCTTTTGTTTGGGGAGTTTATGTTCTGTTTTTATGGCTGTAGGGTTACTTCCAGTGCCTGTTTGATTGCATCGAGAGGCTGCTTGGAACCCTAAACGTGAAAGAACTGGTGCTACCAGCAGCAGATGAAGCCAAATCCATATGGACTGACAAATTTGGTTTCACCAAGATGACCGAAGAGGAGGTATATATCTGTTTAAAAAAAAAAACAAAAGAAGCTGGTCAGTAAACATATATAAACACTCCCAATTGAATCACAACTGTGTGTTTGTGGCTGTTTTAGGTGAAAGAATGCAGACAAGACTACTCGGTGATGGTCTTTCATGGAACATCAATGTTGAGAAAGAAGGTACCTGGAACGAGTGTTGCTGACGTGAGTAAACCTGAGAAGGAGGAAAGTATGGAGGAGTAAAAAGCTCAAGGTTATTTTTTTGGAAGTGGGTGAATCGATACAGGTTTGATGATATGCCTCTTTTTATGCTTTGTATTTTTTGGGTAGTAGGCCACGTATTAGTGTACAGGTTTTTCCCACCTAATGTGTTAATCTACCTCGGCAACTGAAAGAGATGGCACTAAGGGTGTGGAGGATTTGGTCATGTGTAGACTAGTTAGAGAGACACAAGGAAGTGTGGGAAGTTATTTTACTAATCTCGTCTTTTGGGGTCTTGTTACGATTATATGAGAAGCTAATGTTTTTGTAATGGTAAGAAGAAAATGAAAAAACAATGTTACTTTTGTTGCAAAAGTCAAGCAAATTTTACGCATTGCCTTTGAAATGGATCCCATAACCATTAATGCTCACAGTAAAAATTGTTGGATATTTTGCCTATATAAGAGTTTGTAGTATGATCATTTTTACTTGCCTCTTTCGAACTTTAATAACAATATCTCTTCTCTCTTTGGTATGCTTTCTTTCTTATCACTTACATATATAATGTATTACAAGCACATATATATATATATATATATATATATATATATAAATACATATATAAAAACTAATACAATGTAAAACGGTATATAATCTAAATATAATTATAACACGTTATCAGCACGATCACTCTACTATTAAAATTTATTTTTAATTATTATGTTCGGAGTGGGGCCTCCATTTATTTGTTATGTTTATGTTTACCGGAGCGCGGCACTGCCGCCCCATTTTTGTCCATCAGCTTTATTGTTACCGGAGCGCGGCTCTGCCGCCCCGAATTTTATTATAAATTTTATAATGGTTGCTTAAGGCACCATAATGGCCAGTATACCGCCTAAACATTTTAATTTATTATTTTATAATATATAACTTTGTTATCATAATTTATTATTCTGATCATCACCTTAACATTTCACTTTGAAAACCTGATAGATAATTTTATCACCATATATATAACTAAATATATTTAAGATTTCAACTATATTTGTATATATGTTTAACTGATAAATTTGATAATTACTCACTAATAATTTTTGATTAATTTTAATTTTCTGTTTTACTTCCAAAGGTCATAAATAAATTTAAAATAATATTAATAAAAAAAATTACTTTTTAAACGGTTAGTTATCGGCTAATGAACAGTGTTTTCATCTATAAAAACAACTCATTTTCACTTCATTCTCTCATCCAAAAAAATTTATTCATCGCTCAAATATTTACAAATCGTTCTCCTAAAATTTTTCGTTGCAAAAAATAAAATAAAAATAAAATAATAATAAAAAAAAAGATAAAGATAAAAAATGATTCCTTTGCTTTTAATTTTATGTGCGATTTTTATTTCTTGGTCTATGTATTTTATTCTTGTTGAAGGAGCTACTCATGAATATTTTGGAACTAACATCGCCTTATGTTTATTAGCATTATTTTTACTTGTGATTGCGTGTACTATCAATGTAATCGGTTCTATTTAAAATTAATGGAATTCAAAAATTTATTATTTTGTGCCTTAGAAAATCAATGGCAAACATCGAGAAGCTCCAATTTCCCGCTCTAGACATCACCGGTACCAACTACATTTCTTGGGTCACCGACGTCGAACTTCATCTTGCATCTCTTGGTTTATCTGAAACCATTAAAGAGAATAATACTTCAACGCCTCAAGAAAAGGCTAAATCGGTGATCTTCCTTAGATTGTGGCGCTTCTCGTAGCGGAAAAGAACAACGAGTTTCTGATCAAGAATCACATGACACGCCCAACTGGTTCGAAAGCGTTTCCCGAATCAAATGCATTAGATGCAAAGAAACCAGTGAAAGAAAATAAGGTTTTCCAAGGCCGTGGTCGTGGTCGTCAAAATTACCGTGGACGTGGACGAAAGTACAATCCACAGGACAGAAAGTCATTCCAATGGGTCCGCTCCGAGTAGTCCCCTAAGGAAAAAAAACACCAAGGAAATACTTCTCAGAAGCGAGAAGAAGCTTGTTTCAGATGCGGTACTAAGGGACATTGGTCCCGTTTATGTCGTACCCCTCCACATTTATGTGCTTTATACAAAGATTCCGTCAAAGGAAAAGGTAAAGAGGTTAACTTTGCGGAAACTTTTGAGGGTACAACGCACCTGGATGCGTCTGACTTTGTGAATGATTTCGAGGAGACCGCCATCACAGAAGATTAAGCACTCATCATGTGACTCTTGAAATTCCACAATTATACCATAAATAATGTTGTTTGTGGAAGATTAATTTATAATTATTGTTTGATTTTTATATGTTTATGTATAATTACTGCGTGTTTGATGTTTGCTAATGATGTATAATATTTTATGAATAAGATTATCTTATCTCTATTAATTCTTTGTTTGTCTCAGAAATGGACACTACAAACGGAGCATCAACCAAGATCAATGCTAGAGATATTTGTATATCAGATAGTGGAACAACGCACACTATTCTTAAACACAGAAANTTGATGTTTGCTAATGATGTATAATATTTTATGAATAAGATTATCTTATCTCTATTAATTCTTTGTTTGTCTCAGAAATGGACACTACAAACGGAGCATCAACCAAGATCAATGCTAGAGATATTTGTATATCAGATAGTGGAACAACGCACACTATTCTTAAACACAGAAAATATTTTTCTGAACTTAAACCAACAAATATCACAATTAACACAATATCAGGTCCTGCAGACTTGATTGAAGGGATTGGTAAAGCACATTTAGCATTACCTAATGGGACAAATTTCTCGATAAATAATGCACTATTTTCTCCAAATTCTAAGAGGAATTTGTTGAGTTTTAATGACATATATTCTCAAGGATTTGATATTCATTCTGAAACTAAGAATGGAAAGAAATATATGTACATTATTCTTAAGAAATCGGGAAAGCAAAAGGTGTTGGAAAAACTACCAAAACTCCCTTCTGGTCTGCATCAAACATATATAAGTGCCATTGAATCACATTTGGTGATTAAGAGAAATTCTGATGACTTTATGGCATGATCGTCTTGGTCACCCAGGCACCACAATGATGCGAAAGATCATCGAGAACGCACATGGTCATTTACTGAAACCCCAAGAAGTTTATCAGGGGAATAAAATGACATGTACTGCGTGTTCTTTAGGAAAATTGATTATAAGACCATCGCCAACCAAGATAGATAAAGAGTTACCAAAGTTCCATGAACGAATTCAAGGCGATATTTGTGGACCTATACACCCACCTTGTGGACCATTCTATTATTTTATGGTAATGATCGACGTGTCGAGTAGATGGTCCCACGTTTGTCTATTATCCTCTCGAAATGTGGCATTTGCGAGATTTTTATCTTAGATAATCAAACTAAGAGCTCGGTTTTCTGATTATCCAATAAAGAGGGTCAGACTAGATAATGCTGGTGAATTTACTTCCCAAGCATTCAATGATTATTGTATGGTAACTGGAATTGATGTGGAACATCCTGTTGCTCATGTTCACACACAAAATGGTTTGGCTGAATCATTAATTAAACGTCTGCAACTGATTGCAAGACCATTGATCATGAGGTCTAAACTCCCAACCTCTGTGTGGAGACATGCTATTTTGCATGCAGAAGCACTAATTCGGGTGAGACCAAGTGCATATCACAAATATTCACCAATACAGTTAGCATTTGGACGAGAACCAAATATTTCTCATCTAAGAATTTTTGGTTGTGCTGTATATGTGCCAATTGCACCTTCCCAACGTACAAAGATGGGACCTCAAAGGAGGTTAGGTATATATGTTGGTTGTGATTCTCCATCAATTATACGTTACCTAGAACCACAAACTGGTGATGTATTTACGGCACGTTTCGCTGATTGTCACTTTGATGAAAAAGTATTTCCAGTTCTAGGAGGAGAAAATAAACAAGTAGAAAAAGAGATAAAATGGTGTGTGCCATCTCTACTACACCTTGATCCTCCTACAAAACAATCGGAATTAGAAGTCCGTCGAATTATGCATTTGCAAAGCATTGCAAATCAACTACCTGATGCATTTGCAGACACCAAAACGGTAACAAAATCACATATACCTGCTGCAAATGCTCCTTCTCNGAAAAAGAGATAAAATGGTGTGTGCCATCTCTACTACACCTTGATCCTCCTACAAAACAATCGGAATTAGAAGTCCGTCGAATTATGCATTTGCAAAGCATTGCAAATCAACTACCTGATGCATTTGCAGACACCAAAACGGTAACAAAATCACATATACCTGCTGCAAATGCTCCTTCTCGTATTGAAATGCCACATGAACGTGGAGCAGATGATAATACACGAGAGTCAAAAATACGTTTAAAACGTGGTAGACCTCTTGGTTCTAAGGATAAACATCCTAGAAAACGAAAGGAGATGGAAAAGCAAAATCCATCCAATACAACAGAAAGGCCGGAAGAAATGAACCATGAGATTGATAGCAGTGTTGAACATCATGATTCTGAAGAAAATCATGAGATCTCTATTAACTACATTCACAATAGAAAAATATGGAATCGAAATAATGTGAATGGTGTCGATGATATTTTCTCGTACTTTGTTTCAAAAGAAATAAATGAAGAACGTGATGACCCTGAACCAAAATCTATCTCAGAGTGTCAAAAGAGACACGACTGGATGAAATGGAAAGATGCAATACAAGTTGAGCTTGATTCTCTTAACAAACGAGAGGTATTTGGACCTATCGTAATCACACCTGAAGCTGTGAAACCTGTCGGATACAAGTGGGTTTTCGTTCGGAAACGAAACGAGAAAAACGAAGTAATGAGATACAAGGCCCGTCTTGTAGCTCAAGTATTTTCTCAAAGACCTGAGATCGATTATGAAGAAACATATTCTCCTGTTATGGATGCAATCACCTTTAGATTTTTGATGAGTCTTACTGCTAATCAAAATCTAGAAATGCGTCTAATGGATGTTGTTACTTCATATTTATATGGGTCATTGGACACTGATATTTATATGAGAATCCCCGAAGGATTTAAGATGCCAGAACTATTAAGTTCTAAACCTAGAGAGTTATGTGCAATAAAATTGCAAAGATCATTATACGGCTTAAAGCAATCTGGACGTATGTGGTATAATCGTCTCAGTGAACATTTAACTAAAGAAGGATATGTAAATAATCCTATATGCCCATGTGTTTTCATCAAGAAAACGTCATATGGATTTGTTATTATTGCTGTATATGTTGATGATCTAAACATTATCGGAACTAAAGAAGAGATACAAAAGGCATCTGATTATTTAAAGGGAGAATTTGAGATGAAAGATCTCGGACAGACAAAATATTGTCTTGGTCTACAAATTGAGCATTCACATAAAGGTATATTTGTACACCAGTCTACATATACAAAAAGAGTGTTGAAACGATTCAACATGGACAAAGCAACTCCACTAAGTACTCCTATGGTCGTTAGGTCACTAAATGTTGAAAATGATCCTTTTCGACCACATGAAGAAAATGAGGAGATACTTGGCCCTGAAGTACCACATCTAAGTGCAATAGGAACACTCAAGTATCTTGCAAATTGCACTCAGCCCGATATATCATTTGCAGTTAATCTTTTGGCAAGGTTCAGTGCATCTCCTACGCAAAGACATTGGAATGGGATCAAACATGTCTTTCGATATCTTCAAGGAACAATTGATTTAGGATTATTTTATCCTAACAACTCAAACGGAAAAAATGGTTGGTTTTGCAGATGCAGGATATTTGTCTGACCCACATAAAGCTAGATCACAGACTGGATACGTATTCACAATTGGAGGAACTGCTATATCATGGCGATCCCAGAAACACACACTTGTAGCCACTTCCTCAAACCATGCTGAAATAATCGCTCTCCACGAAGCAAGTAGAGAATGTGTTTGGTTCAGATCAATAAGTCAACACATCCTTTCAAGTAGTGGGATCAACATCAATTCAGAACCGACCACCTTATATGAAGACAATGCAGCATGTGTCGCTCAAACAAAAGAATGATACATCAAAAGTGACCGAACCAAGCATATTCCACCGAAGTTCTTCTCATATACCCAAGAACTCGAGAAGAATAAAGAAATTGAAGTGAGATATGTTCGATCTTGTGATAATGCTGCAGACCTCTTTACAAAGTCACTACCCACTACGAAATTCAGAAAACATGTTTACAACATTGGAATGCGTCACCAACAAGAACTGTGAAGATCGTCTATTCGAGGGGGAGTCTCTAAGTTGTACTCTTTTACCTTGCTATGGTTTTTCTCACCGAATTTTCCAAGAAAGGTTTTTAATGAGGTAACATGAAACACAGTGCAAAATATTAATGGTACTGGTATCCAAGGGGGAGTGTTGCAAAAGTCAAGCAAACTTTACGTATTGCCTTTGAAATGGATCCCGATTCCCATAACCATTAATGCTCACAGTAAAAATTGTTGGATATTTTGCATATATAAGAGCTTGTAGTACGATCATTTTTACTTGCCCCTTTCGAACTTTAATAACAATATCTCTTCTCTCTTTGGTATGCTTTCTTTCTTATCACTTATATATATAATGTATTACAAGCATATATATATATATATATAAATACATATATAAAAACTAATACAATGTAAAACAATATATAATCTAAATATAATTATAACAACTTTTTCGTTTTCAAGGAACTCAGTCTCTTCTATCGCCCAGTACTCGTTTTTCCACCATTTGTTGTAGGATGGAAGACAAAATTAAAACATCAACCAAACCAGACCAAATGGTTTTAACTAAAGCTGAACCAAAAATCTAAAAAAAAACAAAACGAGTTGTAATGTGTAATCAAAGCAAACCGAATAAGTAGAATTTATTAACATATTACGTCTTTAATCTTTCTTACAACTTATCTATCACAAAATAATGTTAATATTTAAATGGAATAATAGTTTCCGTTTATAGAATGGGGGAATTGGATACACTGGATCAACCAAGGACAAAAGGACCGGTTCGGCAAACAATTTGAAAACCAAAATAATTAAAAAGTTAGGGTATCCAATCCAATGAGCGGGAAGGAGCGCGTCTAGGGAATTTGAAACACCAAAAAAGCAAAACAGACGTTGGCCTCTCTTTATAAATTACACCTCTGCCCCCACCCCAATCCACCTTAATATTTGCTTCTCTCCCCTCATTCTCAAAAGTATCCGCTAATCCGATCGCACACTGCTTTATCAACGTTCGGCGTTTTCTTCACGCTTGTTAGGGGTTTCGATGGGTCAGATCCAGTACTCTGACAAATACTTCGATGATACTTTTGAGTACAGGTCTGTTTTTTTTATTCCTTCTCCTCCCATTTCCATGGACTTTCTTTTTCTTTTTCGATATCTAATATGCTGTGTGGGGTTGTTTAATATCTGATCGGACAGGCACGTCATACTTCCTCCAGAGGTTGCTAAGCTTCTCCCTAAGAATCGTATTCTCTCCGAAGTAAGTTCTACCAGCATCATCAGCGCTTTCTCTATCCATTCATGTGATTGAATTGTGATTCTGATCTAATCCGATCAGTTTAGGGATTAGGATTTGAAATTCTGATATAATCCTAGTCCGAATAGATAAGTTTTTGGATTAGGATTTTAAGTTCAGTTCGCTCACAACTTTACTCCAAAAAGAGGCTCTCTACTCTTCTTGTTTGTGATCCATCTCATTAGATGCTTTTCTTATTATCATTAGTTAACAGTGGTTAATCATATAACAGCTAGCTTAATAAAATCAAGGACTTACTCTTAACACTAGAATTATTCTTATAAAGCATCTCACATTTTTCGATCTATAATATTGATTTGTTTAAACGATCATATCATGTGGGATCACCATGTTTACTAAAACTGAGATCTCAAAACTTGCATTAGAAATCTATGTAATATAAAAGAGTCTCTTCTTGTTTGTTTGCTTTGAGCAGAATGAGTGGCGTGCGATAGGAGTGCAGCAAAGCCGTGGATGGGTCCATTACGCCATTCATCGTCCTGAGCCACACATCATGCTCTTCAGGAGGACTCTCAACTACCAGCAGAACCTGAACCAACCCATCCCTAAGTAGGATGGATTCATTATTCTCCACTGTTTATCTCTCTCTCGTAAACAAGTTTTTATTTTAAAAAAAAAAACACTCTCAATGTAAAAAGTCTATTGCTCTTTGCTAGGCTTTGTTTGGATTCACGTTCTACTCTTTTCCATTTTAAAATCCAGTATCGTTTCTCTTTTGCTTGTTTAGAAAACTTTTACGCATTTTGTGGTTTTGAGGAAGCCATGTTTCCATTCAACCATGAAATGTAAATTACATTATTTCTCTATCAGTTCAAATTGTCTAATCCAACTTTGAAGATACAACTTGAGTTAGGACATCTCCAACCCACTCCATAATTTTAATGAAAAATGGAGTAGGAGAGTAATGAATAAAAAAAAAAGTGATTATTTCATTTATAGGGTAATCCCTTTTTTCTTTATTCATTACTCTATTTCCCGCTTCATTTTACAGTAAATTATGGAGTGGGGTTGGAGATGATCTAAATAATGGTATCTTCTTCCATTACAAAAGAGTAAAACACAAGTATAGTGCATTCCAATTGAAAGACAAATCAAATTTGAGTGTAACAGAATATTTTGTTGGCAACCTTAGTTAATGTCTTCGTCAAGCCTAAAACCTTCCTGAGAAGTTACAACCGAATTCGTATGGTTATAGATTGAAGACCATGGTCGTGTGTGTCACAGCGCATATGATGATAGATGCTCCATTTTGAATTGAAAGAAAACACTGGACTGGCCCATAATTAACCAAAACAAATAGGGCTGGGCAAAAAAACTGAATCCAAAAATTCGAATCGACCTCGACCCAATAAAAAGGAACCCGATATAAGTACCGAATGAATCTTGTTTTACGGTATTTCGGATTATGGATTTTATCTGAACCGAACCCGAACTTAAATGGATATCCGAAAGAACCCGAAACTTTAAATGTTATATTTGTGACAAAAAATTTTTTAGTGTTATTCTAGTCATTTTCTCTTTCTCCTTTTGTCATTTCACACAGAGAAATTTTGTTTTTCTCTCATCTTCTTCTTGTCCGCTGCTCTCACCTTGTCATTTTCTTTTCTTTTTTCCTCTTCCATTTCTTTTAGTCTTCTTTTTTTTTATCTTCATCTCTTTATGCTATTCGTATTGATTTTTGTTTTGTATACATATTTGAGAACAAGGAATAGCGTAGCACGGGAAAGAGAAGTGATGGTTTGACAGAGCAGAAGCAACGGAGATGGAGATGGCGTAATGAATCGGACGAATGGTAAAGGCTGTATGTATCAGACCAACACCAGTGGCTCCACGACCAAGACCAAGTCGTCTCTTCAGATGGAACTCTGAGTCATTCAACCGGAGCCGTTGGAGAAGCCGGCGGAAATCCGAGCTGCCATGGCTGAACCCATAGAGATGTGTGTGTGTGTATTTATCTTTGTAATTTAACAATTTAATTAAATTTAATATTAATATTTAAATTTACTTCTGAAACTAATATTTATAATTCAGTAAATTTTAATTTTTAAATTTGTAATTAATAGGGATTGAATTAATAGTTTAATTTGCAATTAGGTCATTAGAAAAAATAATAATTGGTTGCTAAACAATTATAAATACTTGTGACTAATTTGTAACTAAATAGCAATATTGTAGTCAGTAATGTTAGAAACTAACTTATAACCAAATTATATTTTGGAAGTTTATTTTTATTACTGCAATAAGTTTTAATTTAGTCACTGCTTGGTTTTGTCACCGGTGCTACCGCAAGACCTCAACCTACCATCACTGCCAGAGAAGGAGATGTTACTACTGAACAAGCGAATACTGAGTTCGTGAAAAGGGTTTGAAAAAATCAGCTTGTGATGGCGTGGTTGTTTGGATCTCTCATTGAAGACGCACTTCGGTTTGTTTCGGTTTACATTCTGCTTAGAAAGTTTGGTTCTCTCTCGGTAAAAAGTACAACAGTGTTTCTATTACAAGGAAGCTAGATCTATAACAAAAACTTCAAGGTATTACTAAGAATCAGAAGACTATGACCAAGTACTTAAATGGTGTTAAAGGTGTTTTTGATCAACTAGATTCGATATGATGGCTGGTTAGTGAACAAGAAAATATTTATGGAGCTTTAAGCGGTCTAGGAAAAGATTATGAATCGATCTGTACCATTATTGAGTACTCCATGGAATCACTTCCTGACATAACCTTTGAAGATGAGGTGTTTAAGCTTGTAAACTTTGATGATAAGCTACAAGCCTATCACCAACAAACCATTGTTAACCCTCATCTAGCTTTCACACCAGAGGTCGCAGTTTTCATCAGCAGTTTGCAGGACAGAACAGCTCTGGTTCGAACTCTACCAAACCAACCTGCCAAATCTGTGGCAAGTATGGACATTCTGCTGCAAGATGTTATAGCAGATTTGATCAGAGTTTTCATGCATCTGAGACAATTCAGAATGCTCTTACCACAGTGAAGTTGTTTGATCAAGAACAGTATAATGGGAGTGAGTGGTATCCAAATTATGTAGCTACGACTCATACCACAAACAATGCCACTCAGCTTGCTTCGTCTGAACCATACTTGGGTAATGATCAAGTTATGGTCGGCAATGGGGGTTATCTACCTATAACACACATTGGAACCATTCCGCTTCATACTCCTCAAGGTATAATCCTTCTTGCTGATGTTCTTGTTTGTTTAAAGATTACTAAGTCCCTTTTGTCTGTGTCTAAACTCACTAAGGACTACCCATGTGAGGTCACGTTTGATTCTGATTTTATCTTTGTAAAGGAAAAGGCCACCAAACAGGTGATAACACAAGGCATAAGACATAAAGACTTGTATATGTTGAAGGATGCACAGTTTAGAGCTTTCTTTTCCTCAAGACAGAGAGCAACAAGTGTTGGGGTTTGGCATAAGAGACTCGGCCATCCTCACAAGGACATCCCTCAATTTCTACCCAATAATAGTTCTATCATTCTGAATAAAGATAACACACCCCTGTTATGTGATGCTTGTCAGTTAGTAAAGAGTTGCAAACTTCCTTTTCTTTCTTCAGACATTGTTTCAACCAACCCACTAGAGACGATACATTGTGATATTTGGGGACCCAGTCCAATTGTTTCTTCTCAGGGAATTAAGTATTATATGATTTTCGTTGATGATTTCTCGAGATTCACTTGGCTCTACCCTTTGAAGTTAAAATCAGTCTTCTTTTTAGTGTTTACAATATTTCAAAACTTGGTTGAAACACAACTACAACAGAAGATCACACAGTTTCAGTGTGCTGGAGGAGGTGAATTTGTGAGCTCAGTCTTCTTATCTCACTTGGCAAACAGAGGAATCAAGCACCTAATGTCGTGTCCACATACACCACAACAAAATGGTGTCTCTGGACGGAAACACAGACACATTACCGAGTTGGGAATCACTCTGATGTACTGCAGTAAAGTTCCTCAACAGTTGTGGGTTGAAGCTTTCTTCACAGCTAATTTCCTTGGGAACCTTCTTCCTTCATCAGTCCTGGATAATCGTCTAAGTCTATATCAAGTACTACATGGTAAAGCTCTGGATTATACTTCACTAAGGGCCTTTGTTTGTAAGTGCTTTTCTTACCGAAGGCCTTATATGAAGAATAAGCTTGATCCCAAATCACTTGTCTGTGTTTTTCTTGGGTACAACGAGAAGTACAAAGGGTATAGATGCTATTACCCTCCAATTGGGAAGATATATATCAGTCGTAATGTGGTATTTGATGAGTCTCAATACCCATATGCTGATGTATATAGCCAATATCATAAGCCATCTGCATCAACCTTATTACAAGCATGGAGATTAGTGAATCTGCAAAAGTATACTGAAGCCTCTCCTTCTGTTCAACCTGAAGAAGTTCTTCCCCCTAAGCAGTGTATGACTCTCTGTAGGGAGAATTTCCTCAATTTTCTAATGAAGGTCCTTCAAGCTCGTCATCTTCTTCAGATGAGTTTGTTGATCAAGACAACAATAGTGACAATAATGAGGTTATTGCTGAAGAACAAAATGAGACTCCTGCATTTGCTAGCCATCTTATGACAACAAGAACAAAGTCTGGAATAATAAAACCAAACCCAAGATATGCTTTGTTGACTGTAAAAGAAGGATATCAAGAGCCACATAGTGTAAAGGCTGCTTTGAAGGATACAAGATGGACTAAAGCTATGGGAGTTGAAATAGACAACATGATTATGACCAAAACATTTGTTCTTTTTCCCCCAGAACCTGATCAGAATCCTCTTGGATGCAGATGGGTGTATAAAACAAAACTTGCTGCAGATGGAAGTGTAAAAGATCTAAGAGCAAGGCTTGTGGCTAAAGGTAATGAATAAGAAGAGGGAGTTGATTTTATTGAAACATTCAGCCTTGTTGTCAGAACAACAACGATAAGAACAATTCTTCATGTTGTTGTAACCAAGAAATAGAAGATTCGCCAACTTGATGTTCAAAATGTCTTCCTACATGGTGATTAGAAAGAAAATGTCTACATGGTTTAACCTCCGGGTCATGTAGCTCCAGAGAAGCCAGATTATGTATGGAAATTGCAGAAAGCTATTTATGGACTTAAACAAGCACCAAGAGCTTGGTTTGACAAGTTTAGAAACTTCCTTATTGATTTTTGTTCCAAGTGCAGCTTCCCTGATCCATCTCTGTTTGTTTATCATCGTGGTGCCTCTGTGATATATCTACTTCTCTATGTCGATGACATGATCTTGACTGGGAATGATGATGAGCTTGATATACATATACTGAAAGATCTCAACATAGAGTTTCGTATGAAGGATATGGGAGAAATCCATTAATTCTTGGGGATTCAAGTACACAAGACTGAGAAAGGGTTGTTTGTGTGTCAAGCAAAGTATGCAACATATTTTCTTATTACAGTAGGAATGAAAGACTGTGCACCGATGCCAACACCTCTGCCACTAAATATGGATAACTTGAAAGGTCAATATGAGTTGTTTGCTGAACCATCTTATTTCCAAAGTCTGGTTGGTA